TGATAAACAATATATCTGATTAGTCAACGTTTGATCAACCCATTCATCTAAGCCACGGATTGAGAGGCAGACTTAAATTTCTCAGAAATTTTCGAAATTGTAACTATTGAAGCGATATGTTAGTCCTCTCTCCAAACAATTCATGTCTACAAAAATAATTACAAGAATAGCATTTTTACTGCTAAATTAGAAGCAACCTTGCGACATCTGTTAAATGCATACAAAAGATCACTAAATATCTGTTTAAAAAAGTTACCTTATTCCTCGAAATAACAAGTGAAATCAATAATGGTATAGCAACTGTTGTATTGGATAATATAGTTGGCTTAGCTTTTAATAAAGAAATAACAGCTCGAGAACATTCTAAGCTGTTTGACAGTTCAAAAATTACTGATGACCATTTTTCCGGTTCGCTGCCTTCCTGGACTGCCTTCAAAATGATGAAATTTTTTAAATGGTTCATTTATTCTCTGTGTATCATACTTGCCATAATTGGTACTGTAAGAAAAAACTTGCTGTACCCAAATGTATGCAACACTGTAGCAAATGCAAAAAAAGGATAGCATGCATCTTTTGTAATATCATTTTTTGTTAAACAAGAGGGTATACTGATAAAGTGTAATACTGATAAAAACTTAACTGTCATATTTTTTGAAGTCTTTTAAGTCATAGTAATTAATATATGAAAGATTTTTATATCATTAAATAGGCGTGAAAATTGAGAGTAAACAGATAAGAAGACGAGATCAACTCGGAATTTTTACCCGTTCAATACAACTGATTACTTCCTTAACATCCATATGATTAAATGTAATTTGATTCACATTAACATCATCCGCATCGAATAAAGTTGGTGCTGAATTGAAATTTATATAAATATCACTTTCATCGATTTCCATTTTTACAGATTCTTGTAGACCTCTTGCTTCAGCTACACGTTTGAGAAACTGTAATGACTAATGATATCTGATTTTCCAGCTATAGAACTCAATGTCTAAACTTCGACCTTGATTGTTCTGCTTTAAAATGTCTTCGTTATTTAAATTTTACAAAACCCTTAGGATAATATGTTACAAGTAATTGAATTATGAATATTTTATTTTTCTTTCCCGTAATATTAAAAAAATTTTCTAGAAATCTACTTTCTCGAAACCAATTGCTGTTACATTAAAACAGGAAAATAAACTCCATAAATTGTAAACTGAACTCAATAAAGCGAATTTAAAAGTGATAAATTCATTAAATTATATTCTAAATATTAATAAATCCATCAAATTCTGGAAATAAATAAACTGTCATATGTAACTTATGAGAAATTAGCCAAAAAAATTATTTGCTTTAATTTGATAGAATTGTGGAAAATTCTACCTTGTCACCACCTTTTGCATTCCGCAACTTATAACTTCTGATAAACATTGATGCTTTTTGAGCTTCTTCTAGCAAGTCATCTTCTAACGGTGTTTCATCAGCATCTAGAATTGCTAGCAGCTTCGTGCAGCTATACGATGTTAATGCAAATGATTGAACAAATTTCAAGGCATCTTTAGCTTCCATACCATCCATTCCAACCTAAAAAAACACCACATCAAAACAGAAAAATAAACTCCATAAATTGTAAACTAAACTGAATAAACCAAATTTGAACGTGATAAATTCATTAAATTATATTCTAAATATTGATAAATCCATTAAATTCTTCCCTCTTAGAACCTATTCTTTTTCCCATTAAATTTTCTTATTTGACCTTACATGATAATATTTTTTATTTAATGAAAAAGTATATTAACAAATTATTTTGTTATCTGCTAAGCGCAAGCAAATTCACAAAATACTGTTGCAGATATTACTAAAAAAATTTTCGATGTATTTTTTTCGTAAGATGTACGGCGCAACATAATGAAAAATCAAATAATACTCAGCATCTCACATATTATAATTCTTTTTTATATAGCAACTAACTAGCTGATGGTAGCCAAATAAATGAAAAAATATGAGGATTCAAATTTCAAAAGTTAAAACTTTAGCTGTCAAATATGTTATCATCATGTCGATAATTCGTTAATGTTTGTATCGAGGAGGAACTAGTCCTAGTAATAAACCAAAATAAATAAATATTACTAACGCGAATGATTCGATCATCTTCAGTGCGGAGCATTTTAAGTTTCAACCAAGTAGGTAACAGTTCAACACCATCCGCACTGAGAACCTTTAAGAAATGAGATATCAATTGCAAAATAATTCCTAAATATTAAAATATTGAAATTTATTGAAGATGCACATTATGATTTCGTACCTTTGGTCGTCTTCCTGATATTGGAAACCAAAGATCCATGAGAACTCTTGTAGCTAACTTATCTTTCTTCTTCCATTGACTGCACAATAATTGTATCATCCCATTAACAGCTGTTGAAATCATCGTCAATGAAGATGCCTAGAGTAATATCAGTGAATTAATAACAATTCTGAAAGATAATTTAAGAAAATAATTAAAAGCAATTTTCTGGCCACTAATGTTATTTATTTATATTATTTAACTGCTATTCAAAGTTATTTCAAGTAATATTAGGTAATTAATATGAAACAGTTGCTTATAAGCATATTGTTAAGATTTTGGAACTAGCAAGTAAACAGACTATGACTTCTTCAACAAATATATTTTTTAATCCGAAGTTCCGAAATCCGTAAAAAATAGATCAGAATGAGAAAACATTAAAATGAAGTATAAGTAGCAGTACCATATTTGATTTCTCGATGCAAACTGTCACTTTTTTCACACTTGATGGCAAAAGCGATTCTAATTCTTCTGTCCATTCGACCTCATTTTGCTCAACTTCCTTAAAATACCTTTCGTAGAAGCTTATAGCATTTATTCGAATGATATCCGCTTCTGTGCCATCTTTCAGCCGTTCAACCATATTTGAAATGTAATGTGCAACCTGAAAATCATTTCCTCCGGAATAATGTGTAAGCACGGAAAGAAAATGGTCAAAGATTTTTTTGCTTATATAAAATTAATGGTTCTGATTAAAATGTCGATTATCTGGTAACAAAGCACACTTCTTTACTGGCATTCTCAAATTAGTTTCTTGACCATATCCATTGCAGATTACTAGCAGTTTCTAAGATATCATCTCAGCTAAGCCTTACTTAAGCAATAATATAGCAATACTGATTTAATGATCGGCCCATTTTGATGAAAATACATAGTTAAATACGTAGTAATCAAAAGAGTACTCACCAAATGTAAATTTTTCGAATCTGCGTATTCAAAAAGAAATGTTAAGTAATCCGACAAACGATTTAAATCAGTTTCTACTGAACAAGCTTGTGATAACAGTGCACAAATTCGATGCTAAAAAGAACAAAAAACGAAATGAGATATTTGAAGGATATTTCATTCGATTTCATACAAACGTATTTATAAACATTAAGTTTAATTTATCAATTAGTATAACGTGACGCGCATCACTGAACAAAAGATGTTCATAAAATAGAAGAGTTCGTACTGCAATGAAAAAAGATGATCTTGGTAACGAGAGAATCAAAAAAAATCAATAATACAAGATCGTGGAAAAAAAGAAAATAATATGGAACCTTTAATTCACTGAAATATGCGACTTTATGAAGGCTTCCGGCCGGAGCTGCATTCACGGTCATTGGCAACACTTGTGTATCTACTTCGTGCTGCAAATAGATGTATGATTTTTACTTACTTCATTTACCACACATCCTAAAACACACAATTTTTTTCGCTTCATTATTGTGTAACTATTATTAATTTAAATTCCTCAACTTACATGTAAGCATATCATTCCGATTTGCTTAAAACTGTAGTAATACCCAACTTTAATTTTTAGTGCGACCCTTTTTTCGATTTTTATGCAAGAAAAACCAAAGCCTACATCAAGAAGTAATGCTAGCGAATGAGCAGCAGCACAACGTTCAGATATCGAGTGAGCAGCAAGATGTACTGCCAGATAATCTAGTGTTTCCAATACCGAAGCTTTGGTAGCAGTTGGACTTATAATGGCATTACGTAAACGTTGACGCATCTAAATTGGACATTGATTGCAAAATATATCGTCAACAATGAATACTGAAAAACTATGATTTTTGAAATATACTACCATCGTAATACACATTCAAAAATTTCTAGAATATTCTTCAAATCTGGATCACTTCCAGTCACATGAATTAGGTAGTCTAGATGGTACTTCCTACAAATAACAAGAATGGAAATTAATTATCCATATTCTCACTTCGATATATCATTCAGAGTTCATGCTTTCATGGTTTCACATATGTATGGAATTTATGTGGTCATTATAAGGTTCACAACGTCAATTATTAAATGAGAATTCAAAGCACCAACCGCATTCAATCTTTCCGTGCTTGGTGTCATACTGTCATAACACGAAGAAGAAGCTACATAGTGCAGAAACAACTCACAAATACATTCAAGAGGCAAGTGTGCTATAGCGTTTGAGTTCGATTCTACTAAATTTATTATGGATGGTAGAGCTTTCAAACTACCCTGAAAAATTATATTAGTTGAAATCGAAGAAGAGATATGACTGCGCTACAGAATAATAGTCGTTGTCTTTTAAGCAACAGACATATAAATTTATCGAAAATCAACATAAAACCTGAGATCTGACAATATCTGCCAGCAAATCAGGATTCCTGCACTCGCTCAAAAGTCGTGACAAATCTAAATCTTCATTTAGTTTTTCCAAATCACGCATAATATTATCCGGAGGTCGTCGACAAACACCGCTGAAATTCAGACAGTAAATTTATACACTGGGAATCATTTACAAATATGTGCTTGATGTAATCAATGAAGACACTTTCTTCATTCGTGACTTTGTGATGGGATTATTATAAATACCATAATAAATTAACAATTCGTAACAATGTGTTTATTGCTAAGAAAATCAATTGATCGTAAATTAGAAATACGAAATTCAAGTGGAAAAGAAAACTTGACTTACTTAATATCCAGACTGCATAATTTATTCAAAAGCTTTGAATCCGAATCACTCACTTCCATTCCGGCCAATCGAGCTTCCAAAGTTTTAATTGTCATTTTCTCCTCATAAGCAGCCTTTTCATCATCTTCAACTAGTTTTTCGGCACATGCTCGATCACTCATAATCGACATTGGTGGAAATGAATAATCCCTAAATTCACGGATAATCATTAATTATAAGTATATAACTTCATCTGATAACTCAATATTTTCCAGATTCTTCTAAACTTAATCTCCAATTTAGAGATTTCACTACGTAGTCTATTGATATTATGCAAAATCACACATTATGCACTTTTAAACAACTTGCCATGTCAAAACAATTTGCATGATAAGTTTCAAGTTCGGATACTTGTAATATACTTCCTTAACCAATGTATTTGTGTTTAATGATGTCCATATCAATGAAATGAGCCACGCTTTCCAATACAACGTCCTAACCGCCAACGGTAGAAAATCTTCGCTGAAAAAGAGATAATGGACACAGATTTGGAGAACTGCTCAAATTTGTGTAAAAAAAATTATTGCACAATAACACTCACTCCTGAATGTTAAAAGTTGGTGGTGGTCTGTATTCCGTTATTTTGAATAAAGTTTCCAATGGAGAACAAGTACTGATTGGAATCATACTACCACCTATAAGTGATTAATTAATTGGCAGATAACATTGTTGGCTTTTACAGTGAAATCGTTGTTAAAAAATATATTTAAAAAATATATTGTACTGACTTTCTGCAATTATGAAGGATGACTGCACTCCTTCAGCCTTATTGTTAACACCCGTCACTTTTCATCGATCAGAATTATATATATTGTCGCTTTAGCGTACAATTTAAACTACCTGAACTTAGTCGACCAATAGTATCATGATTTTGGATCGACCTGTCCATCTCGAATATATACACTCATTTTTGTCGTTAGTATTGCAAAAATTAATAGGTCTTAGAATGAATATCTAAACTGAATTCGGTGGCATGACAAGAAAAGACTAACCTGCTAACGTGGAAGACAACGAAGCTCGTTTTGTGAGATTCTCAATAACATCTATCGTATCTGCAGCATCAATTGGAATTGATGCATCAGATCCAGCATCCAATATGGAACATAACAACTGTTCACTGATTGGAACATCGGAAATAACACGCATATACTGTATTACGTCTCCTTCAATCGGCCACTGATCGACACTGGCATAATACTCAGCCTGTACTGATTAAATATGAGAGTCAATCAATAAATAAATTTCTTCTAGATTCTCAGAAAAAGATGTCATTGGAAAAAAAATCTGATAATATCGAACTAAATATTCTCAAACGAACTAGATGTAATCACCTGTCAACAGTGCCCGACTCTATACTAAATTTCCATCCTCCAGCATGTTAGAAAAGTATATTTATGCCGTTTTCATTTTATTCGCATAAACTATATTGCATAATACAGTTATTAAACCACACATTACAAGAAACAGATATGCAATAATCGACTGGAAGATATTTTATGATTCTCACAGTGAGTTTTTGCAGTGAATGATAATGGATGAAAAGAAAAATACATTAAGACTAATTTAGATCTGATCCAAAGAAACATTACGGTCGCATCATTATTTTACTTAAAAAGACAAAAGAATGATAAAAAAGTTCAAAATACCAACCGGAGCCAAATAAAGGACTCGATAATATGAGTAAACAAATAACCGATTATCAGTGCAAAATTCATAATGTTCACGGAGAAAGCATGTACAGATTTCGAAGAAATTTCGTAAATCAGCATAAAACCTGGAAGCAAAAATGCGAGCGATTAATTCAAAACGTAGAAAAGCTTTCATATATATTACTTTCTTCTTATTTTTGTCTTGCATAACATGATTATTTGGAAGCTGTACAAAGCTGAAGAAGTAGAAAAGATGGGCAATAGAATAAGGAAAAATGTTGATGGAAAAATATCGAGGATATACATACTTCTGCAACGCGTCAATATGAGCTTGCGTCAAATTGCTATTAACACTGCGTCGATGTTGCGATGCTTCCCGAACAGTAGGTGTTATTGACAAAAATGGCAGCATTACACAGAAGTCAATTAACGATTTAAAAAAGAAACCCTGAAGTTGATTACTTCTGACAATTTAGAAAACAAGAAAACATATTTTTTTACAAAACAAAAATAGCTTTGTGCAACTTATGCCACTTTGAAAAATGTTGTATGCATGCAAAAAATCAAACAAGCAATATCCTGAAAAAAGAGAGTAACTTACGGGAGTAGTAAATGTTGAGAAATCTTCAGTTGCGGCGCTGAACAAGTGGGAAGTGAAAAGCGCAAAATCGAAATCTATTCGTAACAATGATCGAACAAATTCCCGAAGAAATGTCCTAGATATACGCAGATATTCTTCCTTAGCTGCGAGCATTTGGGCAATTTCCCGCGCTATAACCTGGAATGAATGTTGGTATAGATAGGGCTAATATTTTCCTCATCTGCATAGAAACTCTCCTGCTCACTTTTATTATATTTGGCTCTTTAAATTTAAAAAATTCGAAAATAATAGGTGAATTGTAAGAGTATTATTAAATTTAGTAGTAGATGAAATAGTAATAAGGTAAAGTAAAATGAATGAATAAACAAACGGATAATAAAGAAGAGCAAAGTGAATAAGTAAGCAAATAATTCGATTTTCTGGCAACAGCTTTAAATCTCAACAGCGCCAAATGTTAGAAATTTTAGTTACTTTGGATGCTGAACGGTTGTCAAACGAAAAAAGCGAATGTATCATTGTCATATTGTAAGGAAAACGATTCGCCGAGAATTCATTTGATAACAATAATTTTGCCACTGCAGAAATCATCTCTTTGTCATTGCTCAGTATTTCTCTGAAAAAAATTAATGCAAATAATCCCGTTAATTTACATTCCAATTTTCTTTCATTTTAACTGATTCTATAAGATTCTATTCCTATCGTTTATACTCACGAAATTCAAATATTCACAAATAGACTTATACACATGATATACAAATATACATCAGTGATAGAATCTTTCAATATGCCATACAAAAATTCTGTGACAGCTATTTGATAAAAAGATACCAAATCAACAGGTCAATAATAAAATATTCATTAAGATTACAAATATGTCATGAGCTTGAACTCACTTCCGATTTTATCCCTCTCCATAATTTACATTCGACATATTATCCAAGGATTCTACCTAGTTTTTTGAATAAAAACAGAAAATAACATGAAAATTTTCTTTAAACTAAACTTTACTCACTTTAAAGCAACATTGAATAAGGTATTGATTTGTTTACTTTTCAATGCCCGTAATTTTAACAAGGCGCTTAACGTCTCACTATCTTCTTCGGTAAGCTCATTTCGGCCTATATTGCTTGCAATCCATAAAAGTAATTCCATAGCATATCTTTGGAGCTGTAAAAAAGGAATCATTAAATGATCTTTTGTCAGACAACAGAAAAGTAAAACAATGCAAATTTCAAGCTACTTTAAATATCCGAGTTCGAATATGCAAGAAAATATCTTTCCATTCAGTAACCATTTCATCACTAATTCCTAATTGTCACTACATGTTTTAATTCGCGAATGTAACTTGAACTACACCTTTAAAATATGTTTAATACTACCTATATTTTATTTCATGTCAAAATATAATGTATAATATCATATACACCAACTCACAAGAGTTCAAAAAAGTGTAACTAAAATTTAACAAAGTTAAAGCAAACAAAGCCAGCACTGCGTTTTGCCAGTTTAATCACAGTAGCATGAGTAATGTGATGGCAATATTGACATATTAATACATCACTTCATGATTAATATCAATCTCTAATCATCATTGAAAATGTACACCTTTCCATTCAGCAACCATGAATCCATTTTTCGTGCAGCCAGCAACCGGACGCTTCCATTTCCTGAACATACACACATTGTCTTCAACAAATTTCTTGGCGCACTTTCACCCTTCCGTTCACATATATCTCTCATTTGAATCACAAATGTGTCAATTTTCTGTTCTTTGTCAACCACTTTTGCAAATCGATTTATTGCATCCTATAAAAAAAATTCTTAAAAAATCGTCTAAGATTATTTTTCTTTAATAAATTTGAACGCAATAAACAGGAAATTCGGATAAAGTTAAAGTCCCAAGTAATATTACAAAAGTTCAAAAAGGACAGCAAATTTTCTTGATTAAGATGGACATTTGCTATTGATAGTAAAATTGTTCCATTTAATTATATCTCCTTATATCTCTAAATAATTCTAGTATAAATCAAAATAATTATTACCATTGTCCGATACCGTTCTGGATAAGTCAAATCGCACGCTACGTACATTGATTCGTGTGGGGTCCGAGTACCGAAAGCCGTCATGATATTCACAACTAAACCATCTACTGATGGTCTATCAGCCCACTGCCTTTCATGCAAACTGTCATCAATAAAACTTTCAACCAGCCGCCAATTCCAGTCAGTCATTCCCATCAGAACCTTACATAGCACTATAATAATTAATATCTCTGAAGTTCAAATGCTACTGAAATGTGGAGTTATTTTTGAATTATCAAATTCATCATAATTACCAAATTCTGAAAAAAAATCAACAAATATTTTAAAGAACTACGTTTTAATATAGCACAATAGCAAAGCTATCTCCGGAGAAAAACCACCGAATGTTTTGCACTAATGCATTTTCGTTTCATCCATCAGTTTTTGTTTTATTTTTGGGATGCCAAATTTGTATCTCATGTGAAAATTTCGAGAGCCAACAATGGTTACAAAACTCAACTGAAGGAAATAATATAAAATTAAGACTAGATTGGTAAGTGGAAAATTTTACGCGAAGGAGCCATCACTGAACCAGGAGAAGAAGTCGGGAAATTCGTCGACAACAGCGAACAAAGTACGTCGATTAATTCTTCATGCGGCTGCAATAAAGTTGAATTCTCTGACAAAGGTTACAATCCGTATCCGATTTAGTTAATATATATGGATAGTAAAATAATGAAAATAGCAATATAAAATAAACATATGTCTCCGAAATTCTAAAAAATTCAGAAAAATTATATCGTTTGACTCAATTAAAAATGGTATTATTAATCCGTTTACAGATTAATTCTGCAAATGTCATAAAGGTAGGAAAAATCTTAGGTCTCAACAAATAGAGTCATAGATAGATCATAAGAATCTAATTACATCAAATTTAATTTCCTTAGTATTATTTTCATAAAGTATGATGCATATATCATACAGTTAATTCAATTCAATATTTATACAGTTAACTGGTCATAGATCTCCCAAAAAAAGCATTCGCAATGTTAATTTTTAATTCTTTCAATTTCCTCTAATCTATAATTCGTATAAAGATTACTTACCAATAAAAATGAAGCATTCATTTTCACGAAAAGCATAAGTGCTGAACATATAATTGGTTCCTCAGCCCAACTACCAGTTTCTTTACGATGATCAATCATCTCCCTTATCGCTGCACATATTAGCCGTGCGGCCTTTTGTGGCTTTTGTTTCTCTTTTGCCAATTCCAGCGATGCCAGTAACTGTTTAGGCACTATTTGTACCTAAATATTCCCCGAAAAAAGAAACTATAATCAAATTTCAATCAGATTCAATCAGATCTACAGTACTTTCTTGTGATAATATTTTCGATAAATGTCTTATTCATTCGCTACAAGTTTTCAATAAAAAAGAACTTTTCAACTACTTATCAAATCGCTGTAGATATATAGCATAAAAACTTCTCTGAGATCGGGGATTTTATTGATATCACTGATAAAACCTTAAAGGACCTTTATAGAACTCGAGGCCAGAAATTTAGTATTAATGTTTCATATATAATTAATATTGCTACATGAAAAAGAACTTACTTCAGCACAAAAACTACGCCATCTTGAATCATCAACTTCGGCACGTTTGACAGAACTCGTTGATGGAGTGCTGGAAAGAATTTTACCCGAAAAGTCAAGACGAGGCTTTTTCAAAACACCACTCGGCAACTGCAACCAAACAATTATATTGAGACAAATCAAACAACTATCTGGAATTCATTCAATTCTTAGTTAGTTTCGAAAAGATAAGGTATTTTCCACCAATACCAAGTCCTAAGGAAAAAAAGCAAAACTTTTTGAATGCTATCAAGAAGAATAGAATGACTGCGTGATCTTGGGAAAGTAGAATCATAGCTCAATATTATCTAAAAAGCAGCTTTACGAGTAAAATTTCAGATTTGAATTAAAGAAACAGTCAATGAAAATTATCCGAATTTAAAGAAAATCAAGTCTGAATAAGTAGTGAATGAAATAAACAAATAGCTTATTAGTTAATAGAGATTCGAGAATTAAATTTGCAAGTGGAAACTACAATCAACAATTACTATAGAATTAACCTGTGGTAATTCCCGCTTATGAACCTGAGGTTTCGTCCGACTCGCATCGGAAGTTGATGGGACATCACGACCGATTGCCAAAAATCCACCAGCTGGTAAATTTGCTCTTGCTTTATGTCCTTGTTTACTCATGTTTCTTTTTTCAAAATTCACTGAAATTTTCGTAAATTTGACTTTGACACTACTTTAATTCACTCGAATTATTCCAAACATCTCATTTAATTGCTTTTGATTTTCACCAGGTCTGAATAGACCTCCTTATGTGGTAGAGATTTGACAAATAATGTTATTAATATTTCTTCATTTTTTCACTCCTTGTTCATTGTTCTTTCGTGTCATTACTCTCCGGCCAATACTTTATGTCATGAAAGGCGCCCGGATGAGACATGTTCCATCTGTCAGATCGATGATGCTATTCGGTATGCACCCGATCTCAGATCTCAATCAAGAATTTTACTTCATATTTTATCCAGTAATACAACCCCTTTCTCGCTTTTCTTATGTTCGATCCGAACTCTAACCCACTTTGTTTTAATAACATTCACATATTTCATTCTATATATGCTATCGAAATTTCATTCATGCAAATTTGAAAGGTACGAAACGCACAAAAATAATAAAATATTGTTGAATGATTGTTATTTTTACAATTTTCTGCAATACACGGTAGTATTCTGGCAGTTACCATTTTTATAACATTATTTGCATTTAACTACTACATCAAGCACGCAGCTGTAGAAATTTTTTAATTGGCTATTTTTTGGGAGCAATTATAACCTGAAAAAGAGATTGAGTTTTCAAACAATTTTAAAGAGTTAAAGCAAAGATAAAAATAACACAAACTGCAAGTTAAGTTAACGATAAGCAAACTCATATGGCAGAATTTTTTTCACAGACAATGTTCATTAAAGAAAATCATTTCAGTTCCAAAATCTCGATTTAGTATTTCCATGAGTCACCACGCACTGTTTAGTTTACAGAAAACAACGTGCAACATATGCTTTTACAGCAGTTGAATGCAATATGTCTGTCCCTTTAAACTAAGATTTATGCTCACTACTTTACTCTATATAAATATGTGCTACTTCTTATTCTAATGCAAATATTTCTACTGATCGATCTGTTCCTTATCAGGTCGTTAAAAGAAATTTTAAAACGTAAGCATTGAGTTCTTTGATTTGCAAAGAAACTATCCTTTGTTGAGTCTATCCTTCGCCGTTGTCTAATTTTGGATAAACCGAACGCAAAACTTTGGCTTATCTCGGAATATGAATGCAACAATTTAAACGAAATGTTCAAGCAATATCAAATGATAACTAATATAGTTAATGGGATAGGTCAGAATCGAAATAAGGAAAATAAGCAGGCTGAACTGGGGGATTGTATCTGGCCATAAGCAAGTGGCATAATTCACTTGATGTTAATTGATAAGAGTAGCTTGGCTACTACATCCAGCTATTACTAATGTTGTTTGTCGACTTTAGCGCAGAGGTTTTTATTCTTGGCAGTGAAAGAGATGATATGTTGCTCAGAATATTTATAATATAACAAAATTTTTCCTGAATTAATGGCAGAAAATTATCTACAAGTTCTAAAAAGAAGATATCCTTGAAAAACTTTATGTTCGCCTTCTTCCCTCAATCTTAACCATTTATATTCATAACCTTGATTTGAAGGACATTCTAGCTTGCAAACCGCCTACTCTCATTCCTTCACTTGCTTCATTACTACTTCAAGCTACCAGTTTTAGACTGCCACATTTCTTCAGGTCTTATGCAAGTTGAACGATAACGTCTTGTTGAATGATCAGGAAATGTTAGAATATTAGCCATTTTCCAAATTGCATTTTATTTAGTTAATTTAGAAGCCACTGGCAAATAGAAGATATTAGTTACCCCGACAGATAAATATCAAATAAATATATGCATCAAATGCATTATTAAACTAGGTGCTGATGACTATATGTAATATGATAATTCCGAAGTTAACTACCTCACTTCTCCGGTTAGGCTTGTATTGCTGGAACCTTTGTCATTATGCTTTACTGAACCATTCATTTTAATTAACGGATAGTTCAGATCACACATCAGCTAACAGCCAATGAATTTTCTATTTTTGTCAATGTTTCCGAGAAGTTACATATTACTCACTCACATTCTCGCATTAGCTATAATGTACAGTTTGGATTCTCTTGCAACTTACAAATACATGTAAAATTCAAAAAAAATTTCCGAACATTGCAGCTGGATCTAGCAATTATTATATATAATAAACGACGAAAACGAATCTATCGTTCTATCGATCGACCGTTTCGTACGCTCGTCAATCTGAATTTTTATTTAAAATTAACACAAAAAGCTCATTTTATGTATTTTAATAACAAATCTAATTTGTTGTTTGTAAACAGATTGGATCGTAAGTTATTGCTGTGTCAAGGAAAAAGAGATTAACACCGCAGTCTTTCAGCCTTCTAATTTTCGATATTTTTAAACTTGAATTTTAACTGAAACATCACATATTTTCAGGAAGCGACCTACAATGTATTTCGTTATCGTCTAAAAACTAAAGTTGCATCTTACAATAAAACTGTCAATGCCTTACACAAAGTTAAAACGTTCAATTTTTCAACCAGGGTAATCTTCTGACAATTTCCTTTTCCTCGAAATTCCAGCAAATGGAAAATTATTTAGTAGATTGCAAGAATGAGAAAAACCAGATTTATGCACACCAAGCAACTCCAGAAATTAAGAGAGGGATCTCTGCGGAATTCGGTAACTTGCTAACAAAAAAGATTAAAACAATGTCTACTGGAAGTTTGTAAAATGAAGTTGTTAATTGGAAAAGTGATATAGATGTTCAAAGCTCATATCAAAGTCATCATAATTATTAAAACAATACCCAACCAAAAATTTCCACATCATCTAATTATATTTTATTCCTGAGTACTTTAGAAAATTTTCTGCAGCACATTTCGATTCTGAAGAATTGCAAGATATTGTGCAAGTATTTTCATAATTTCTAATGCTACATATGGATAAAAAGAATTTTAACATTAACAAATTTTTCAGAAGTGAAGGAACAATGCCGATAGTCATTATAGCTCTAGTCATAGGTGTACCCATTTTAATTACTCTTATCTCCGTCTTTATTATTGTCGTTATATATTGCTGTTGCCAAAAAAATGGTTGGTATTCATGGATAATTTAACTAGAAAATCTAAACCTTTGACTAAAATTATTTAGAAAAACGCCCGTTATTTAGTAGTACCACTTGACTTCCGACAGACAGAAAATACTTTTGAGCATGAACTTTCCATAGAGGATTGAGATCGCCTGCTTCGATCACTAGTTATCGATAGAAAAAATCGCTGAATATAGTTAGCCAAGGTAATAAACAGGATTTGACACTTCCAGAATGAATTATACTACGATCAACTGATTGATTGGCTAGTATTATATAAAACTAATATCATTGAATAGGAACAGCGGAAGATGAACTACCGAAAAGTTTGATCGAGAATTGCAAACGAACGGAGCCACCACCAGAGGAACAAGGAAAATACTTGCCAGAGCTATTCGATGCTTCAGCATTTCAGTTCAAAGGACCACTCATTATTAAATGTCCTAAATTACACATTCTTGTTAGTACTGATCGATAGAACGCGCCGCATTTTGAATATTTCCCTTAACCGATGGCTTTAATTAAATGCTGATTTCATCTATATTTAGAAGCACGACCTCACAAGTGCAAAACCAGCTGAAAGCAATATAAAGGACCATGTTCGATTCGATAAAAATCTTAACGTCGTATGTTTTTTAGTTACTATGATTTCTTTTCCATTAATTCCAAAAAAATATCTCACCGCAATCCTGAAATATTTTACCGCAATGTATGTTTACGAGAGGTGAAAGAATGGCATAATATGTTCCGGAATCTTTCCTATTTTCAAACTACAGTCAATGAAGTGTAATCTTTTCGTTTTAGGCTTATAATATCGGGGAAAATGTTGAAATAATTGTTAAGAGCTATGGACAAGGTAAAATATTCGAGTTCCAAAACGATTCCTTAATTGCTGCTAAGGCTACTAAGGCTAAGTTTATTATTTGACTTTAGAGAATCGCAAAATGGTTTTCCGTTATAAGAAGCTAAGCTAGTCTTTCTCCCTTTTTGGATTGTGAAGCTAAGTTTGATTAATGAATGATAAAAGAGAAGAACGAATCTTTACTTTTTTTTAAAAAATTCGTTCTATGGTCCGAGAAATTTTGGAAACATCCGTGTACTACACAGTTGCGGTAATAGTAAAGAGTCCCAAATCTACATTTAATTTCTTAAAAGAGAAATAATCATAGGAACTGAAACTGAAAGTAGTGAAATGACCAAAGAAAATGGGGCAGATGAGGACGATGAAACGAATGAACAGGAAAATGATTGCAAGAAGTTGATTATTAAAAACAAAGAAAAAGAAGTGGGAAAACAATCGAAGAGAAAAAATTCTCAATCACAAAAGAAAAAAAGCCAGATAGGAGAAGTGAGAGATCCGAAAAGGAAATGCAAACCTGTATCATCAATCCGCACACAAGTAACTCAACCAAGTCGGTATTCTGAATCATCGACGCAAACTCCCAGACTTAGTGACGAAGCGAATGTTGAAAGCCCTAAAAAACAGGGTGGTGGACCGGATATAGCAAATAGTCAAAAAGGAAATTTCAGCATTACGTATGAAAGAAAGAATAAACCATTACGGGAAAGAACTTCAAATATCCTATTTGAACAAACAACTCGGGCACCAAACAAATCGAGAATGATAGTGTTAAGGAAAGAACAGCAGAGTGCAGTATCAACTGAAGCAACAAATATCTCATCAACAATGAAGACAGTTAATTTTCATCATTGGGTAGCTGAAGAGATTAATCCTTCTATATCCGGTTCATATAAAAATGGTATATCCGAAAGAATCCGATCGGAAGTGGGTAAAAAGTTTATATTTTTATGGTTATACTTCGAAAAACTCCTTTATAAGCACGGCGTACATGTCCTACTAATTTCAAAGTCCTAATCAATTCTAGTGATAATCCTCAGTCCACTAGTGGAACACCAACTATTTATTCAATAGCTAGAACAGATGTATTTGCATAATCGTATAAGGTATATTTGCAGTGAACCTGCACAAATACATAGTATAAGTAATTTTAGGCAATGTGATTTCTTTTGATAGTGGGTAATGATTAGAACAGTTCAGGAAAATAGGAGAGAAATCATCTAAACAATGAAAGTTCTCCAGAATAATCCAAGAACTTAAACTCTAATTCCTAATGTAAGCAACAGAACTTTTTGAGATATATTATGAAAAAGATGAACTTCAAACTGCCTAATCGTAGTGGAAAATATCAAAATCCATGCAATGCCGAATACATCTCCAATACCATAAATCGATTCCCTTCCTTTTTAGGAAAATCGGTGACTTCTGTATACCAAATATATTCGAAATTATCCATATCATCATTTGCTCCTATATCGTTACACAATTCAAATTGTTTTCAAAAGAGAAAAAACAAAAATAAATTCGGAAATTACCGAGACCTTGCAGAAAAGAAAGGGCAACGAAGAACCAATAATTATTCCGCAAAGAAACAAAGTGCAATTTTAAAAAAGCAATAAAGATTTACTAAAATAAATTCATTGCGATGTAAGAACCACATCACATTAGTTATCAAGTCTTCATGTGCTCTATTCGGAGCATTTTTACTGAACTTTCGAAAAATATAACACATTTTTCTGTATTAATTCTACACAGGATGATAGAACGTAGGCAGAATTCAAAAACTGCGAAGCATGAAGAATTATTTGAATAATTATTTCTTGATATTTGACATCTAAAAAATATTCTTCTGCTTCTGTATGTGCAGTGAACAAATGTGCGCAAATCAAAACAAAATTTGGTTAACTGCTAGACATTCATGAAAAAATTTCAGTCATTCATGCATCATAGCTTCAACCGTAATCATTCATACAATTATGTAAAAAGATTCCAGATATAAAATCATACACGGTTCAATTATGCATAACAGACAATTTACGTTACAATTATGTATTAAGATGCCAATTTCTAAACGTATAACCTTTAATTTTCTAAAAAAAATTCCAATATCAATCCAAAATTTTGAATAAGTTTTTTGACACAAGCAAAAAAAACAATAATATACGCTGAACAAAAATCACTACAATCATTTCGTCCGGAACCGTTGAGTTACTGCGTTTTGTAACCTCATCACTGTTTGTTTCTGATTTTCTTGCTTTGTTGCAGCATTTGCTATCGTTTCCTCTAGCCGCTTTCTAGAATTTTTTCAATTTGTTAAACAACGGAAGATTTCAAGCAAATTTGAGCAGCTCCATAAATAGGAGCAAATATCACAAAAATTTAAATCAACTCATACAAATTCTATAGAATCAACTTCAGACCTATCCAAGTATTCCAGTCGTCGTTCCAAGTATAAAAAATTTGCGGTTTTACTCAATTCTATGAATGCACGAAAAAGAACTTTCCTGACTTGAAACACATCTCAGTGTTTTTTAGACGCGACATAAGATTTAAGAATATCCTAAAATAATTTATCCTATTCCCAAAAAACATCAAATTCAAATTAAATTTTAATCAGTTAAGTCAAGAAATACACTAAACTTCAAACATTTACTGAATTACTAATGTCTCTCATTCTTCATTACTTACATGACATATGGGATGCACAAAATAAACGTTATTCTTTTCCCTTTTTAAAATTTATTACAATAAATTATGATGAAAATACAAAGAAATTTACATTTCACTTGTGATATAATCTATGCGTTTTTCAACATTTTGTTTTGCCTCGGCAAGATCTTGCTTAATTAGCACTGGTCCAATTAATTTGTATACCGTTGCATCATCTTCCAGAAGATCAAGCTCCTGAAACAATAGAACAGTTATATTTTTGAGATCAGTTTCCAATCTCATAAAATCGACTTTCTTAATAATGCATATATATATATATATATATATTTCCACTACAATAAATCTATTTCATCTTTATATCTTTATATATCCACTTTTGCTAACAGTTACAAGAGTAAGCTATACAATAGAGCAAAGCGACTGGAAAGCATAAATATATATTCAATGTTAAGGTTTCGTTGTATTAAAAAAAGGAAGAGATTACACAATTATTAAAATAGATAACGTAAAATACCACATAGAATGTCCTCTTTGTCTTTATCTCTTTCCAAAAAATATATAATATAACACTATTTTAATTCATCTACTGCTTATGCTGCTAATGGATACTCCAAAATTTACAAAAAACCAAAGTTAATTAACTATAGCAAAATGAAGAAAAAAACAAAAAGAAAAGAAATTACGGTTTTCACAAGATTATTTTCCGTTAACTGTCCTTCAAGTTGTTGTCGATTATGAATATTCTTTTCGCGATCTGAAGACAATAAATAAAAATAATGTCTATTAAAACAGCATATGATCCGCAAATCTAACAACGATAGACACATTGGCACAATGACTTATTAATTTACATATACAGTTCATTTTTTCAAGGCATCTTCTTTGTTAAATTTTTTACCTACCAAAAAAAAAAAAAATTTCCCACATCATTCTAAAATGCATCTGTATCAAACCTTATATTTCAAAGAACATTTTACGTCAGTCAATATCTTCCTAACCTTCAGTAACAAAATTTTTGAATAGAAAAGCAGAATAGGTGACTCAAAAGCTAATAAACCAGAAAAAACCGATAAGATTACTAACCTTTCTCAAACTGCTTATATTTAGCAAGTTCTTCTTCGAATTTATTCATAACAAAATCACCCATCTTGTCCTCGAAACCTGAAACCACCAAAATGATACGAGTAGTGATAAATTTTTTTAGCAATTAATTAATTTACCATTGTTCCAGAGTTATGATTATTTCCGATTACCTAATATCTTATGATGAGTTATGAAATCACCGTAGCTCCAAATAACAATTAATTTACCAAGCTAAAACTCAAAACAAAAATCATGTTTCCATATAATTACATATTGGTTCTCTCTGACAGCTCTTTTAATTTATAAAACGGTAACTTTAAATTTTAAATCGTACGAATCATTATGCTTGTTCAGAATTATTATATCGTATATGACCTAAACTTCAGAAAATATTACAAAACTTGAGATATGTTCGCATAGAAAAACTTATAAATAATTGAAACCTGACGTTTTGAAAAGATTTACACATGTGAAAGAAAATGAAAGAAGTCATACATAGTGAGAAAGCGTAAACAAAATGGTTGAGCAACAAAGACAAGTAAATGCAAGTAAAGCTAGATATATAAAAAAGCTTTCAAAAAAAGAAAAAAAATTGGGTAATCGGAAATCATTATGGCTCTAAATAAAATGACCAATGACTTAATAAAATTCTATTCAAAACATAATTGCAATTAGCTTCTAGCAAAAAGGGGTAAAAAAAGCTGAATTAGGAGGTTCGGACTTTTCCATTCATTCGTTTTTAATCTATAATTTTTATAATTCAGAAAAGTTGTCAAAAAAATCAGATTTTCTCACTTATAAAATAGCATGGATGAGAATTGGACGTATCTATTAAGCTTTAAGCGAGTTTATTGCAAATATTGATTCATATTATATTATGCTCAGTTTGATATACATCTCACTAAAGATAGCCCCCAATAGTCGTAACAAACTAGCGAAGAAAAAAATAGTGACTCATGAACCATAGCATCAATAATATCATTCAAACCAATCAATGAGGCTTCAGGTATTTTGAAAAGCTATTCCTGAGGTATCTTACAAAAAAAATAACAATAAAAAACATTTCAATGCAGAACATATGGATGTTTTACAATAATCAGTTAAGTAAATTGGAAGGAAAACTATTGAATTTATTTCCCTGGATATTTCCAAATCTTAGATATCAGATAGCAAGTTTACTAACAGTTTCGTCATTCACTGAATGTTAAATTAGTTTTTTTCTACATTATCATTCTCAAAACCATTCTTACCAAAAACTACCAAGAGTTTGCTTATCTTACAGTCTGCTAGATTTAAATAACAACTCACATTCCATTTAAAAAAGACAATGCACAAAATGTCAACAAAATAAAAAATAGTTTAATTACTAAATAAAAAGTCTTCTCCGAGCACGTCTCTTCGACTTGTACTCTGGATAACGTGTTTTAACAGCAACTGGTGAATTGCTTTCTATAATTTGTCCACGTCGACGCTGCTCTTCTCTGTTTGGCATCCCAATTTCCCAGTAATATTCGGGAGTAGATGGTTCTCTTTCAATATCTCTGTGTCTACTAACCTACAAAGAATACGGATGAATTAAAGTATATAGGATCAAAATTATTTCTAAGCATCACTTTTCTTTGTTAAAAACCGTGAGTGATGCATCTTCATACCTTATATATTTCATCAAGTTTTACCCAGCAAACTATGAAACAACGATTACCTATAACTCTCGGCCTTTAAATAGAATTTAAACTAACCTGATCAATCCGTTTATTACGTTCATCTTGATTTAATCCCAAGGCTTCGTAGTAGTCCGCACAACATCGACAATCAAAACCGTACAATAATCGTCGTTCAGCCTTTTTTCGTCGAACATTACCATCATCGTTAAATCTTGAGACCAGTTCACTGTCCACATATTTTTGATCATTTCGGCAAAATTTTGGTGAAGATATTGCTCTCATTAATGAACGCGTATGCTGCGATTCCATCATAGCATAACACTTAGTCAATTTACTTCGATCCAGCACAGTTGCAAGTGATATTTGCCTCAGTATTTCCGGTTTCTTTAATGTGTTAGGAGGAGAAGGAGTAAGAGGAAGAGATGATTGATCAGACAAAGAAGAAATAATATCCAGTTCATCTTCATTTGTTTCTTCTTGAGTAGAGGTTACTTGTGAAGTTGACCCTGATAAAGAATTCTGCAAATTTGTGATTTTTTCAGATATCTGGTTTGTATTCAATCGTGAAGATATGTGCGGTGAAATCCGCATAAATTCTGATAAATTTTCATCTGCAGTGTTGGATGTTAGTCTTCTCAACTCTCCCGAATTAGAGCTCAGCGGGATCAGTCGAATCCCAATAGAGTCTGTCAGAGGTTCCGAAATATGCGATAAGCAGAGGTCATCGACGGTCATTTCTACATTCTCCTTATATTTCTTGTTTGTCTTGGTCACAGAACTCATTTTTTCTGGAGAAACATCCGGACTGATATTCAACCAAAAAGCATATTTATCTGCATTAACAGGTTTTGGTTTCGGTGGTGGCTCGAACCGATTAATCCAACTGTCCAAGGTCCCGTTACAACGGCTTCCTGATCGTCTTTGCATAGAAGCTGAACACGGCAGTGGTTGAGTAGGAAGAAGAGGTGATCTGTTTTGCAAAGCCTTCTTCGATGTTGTAAGATGGATGATTTCAACCGATTTCGGTGTTTCGGGAATGTCGTCAATTGTATTAAAAATATCAGATGGATATTTGTTTTTTTCCAAACCCATCTCCAATAGTGGTTGCGAATTTTTTCGTTCAAAAGTAGCATCCAATGAAATCCCCTGTGATTTTTCATAATCTTCGATTAGACAGATTGGTGAAGCAGTAGCATCCAGAAATGGAGTGCCATCCAGTGAACTGGAATTTTCCGCAACACTAATAGATCTTTTGCAGGAAAATGCCTTTTTGGCAACTGGCGAATACAAATAAGAGTTCATGATGAGGGCGATGATATCGTTACGAATAATAACGATAACACTAAAAATTGGTGATAGAAAGTGATACCTCGATCAATTCATCTATTAGTGAGGATAATGTTGAATCGCAACGATCACCATTCTCAGCGCTCATCGAGTTACAATAGAAATGTTCATTTGTGCTAAAGAAAAGTTAGAAATTAAACTACCGACGCACACTCTTGCAAAATACAGAAATGGAAAAGCCATGGGGGTCTATCCACCATCACATAACAAAATTGATCACTTAAACTTTCCAAAATTGCTCTTTCGTTAGCTTTTTCGGTACTTGTGGGCGAGTGGTTAGAATGCTTTCTACTTCTATGATTCATATTAATTATTTTATGTTTTTTGTTTACTTCTATGCTTAACTTATCATTAACAGCGAAGATTGTAGACTGGAAATGATACCAGGTCAAGTACCGCAACCGGTATATACTGCATTGAAGAATGGCACTTTCATTAACAATATCGATGCGTTCGATCCAGAACAAATCCAACCATTCCTACCTTCTCTTTTGCTTTGCTCTTTTTCATCAACTTGCACTTTTTCGGATGAGTCATTGGTTAGTTTGTTTTTGTTGAAAATTTTAAATGCTTCTTCTAGAAAGTCAAAATTCCGTTTTCTTTCTTATTAGTAACCCTGTAATATTCTTTGCAAAAGTTAGATTATTTCTTAGTAGTGGAAATTTTTTTGGAAATAAAGTAGTCGTTGCGCTTTGAGGATCTTGGAAAAAATATGCTGGAGATCTCGACATCTCTGTTATCCGCTTTGTTCAAATTTTTGCTTCTAAAAAGACTTTCCGTTAAACTTTTTCTTAAAATTAAAAAAATTCTGAAGGTATGAAATTTTAAATTGAGTAGTCCTTGGAAACACAAAATTATTAAATGTTTGCTTCTTCTAACCAACAAGTTGAAATAAACCAAATAAGTAACAAACGAGCACAACTAGTGTTTTTATTTTGATTAATGAACAAATTAATCGGACAAATTGTGAATGAATAGGATCACGGAATAACAAAGATAAGATTTTAAGCCATAGCGCAGAGGTCAGAATGTTCATAATGATTTTTATTTCTATTGTAAAAATTTTTATCAATGTTAACTAAAATGAAGTCATTATTACTCAGTGATGTATTTCTTGTACATTTTAAGGATCAGCTTCGACGTCGTTTACTAGAATTTCCTCAATGCAATTCGTTGTTTCAAATTCTTAATGCAGACATTGTTACTGTGGAGAATGATTTGAATAAAGCAACGGCGGAGGATATTGAAAGTATTCGTAAAATACCGTTTGAAACCGCATCGCCGCAAATGAAACTCAAAATTGTCGCATTTCTACTTGATCAAAGTTGGAATTTTCCTCAGTTTCCCTGCTTTGATCTTAATTTATTTATTCAAACGGAAAGGCAGCACACTCCTGTTAAGTAGTTATGTTGAACAAAGCAAGCGGACTACTTACGTGACTAGGCGATACTTTGTAGTGCATTCTCAAATATAGAGACGTTAAAATATTGCATCAACAAATTATTGCCTTTAGTAAATGAAAAATCTGAACCGATGTGAACATCAGAAGTTTGCTTAGCCAATACTCCCAGATGTCCTGTAAACTGGAAGTAATCTTTAAGTTGCAAAGAATATGGATAATGCAACGAATCTGGATATCTTTGAACAGGAATCAACACTAGAAGAAGTCATATGTGCGATGACCGTATGTGCCTTGTATATGCCGAGCCGTTTCGATCCCGCCTTAATTATTCATCCTTTATTGACAGTACCTAATGCCGTAACTGTGATTACTATGGTAAATATTAGAAATCGATTGATAAATATGATAAATATCTAACTAACAATCATACACCAGATTATATCTGGTGTACGATTGTCAGTCATTAGAAGATGCAATCGGCTTCGATATCCAGCGAAATATAATGATAATTGATGGGATTCATTTTTTTACAGCTAATATGTAATGTCAGCGACTCATTGGAATCCACTGTTGATTACCTATTGAGGGCTCAGTTGCTAGATGATGATAATGTTATCAGCAAAAACAGAAGTAATTTGTTGCTAAAGGTTTGTTAGACATAATGAATTGCTTGACACATGTTCTCTTATCACTCTTCCTTTAGTTAAAATTTGCAAAAATTTAATACAAATGTTTTAAACCAGAGTTACTATTCAAATCACTGTATCCAGTAAACATTAGCTGCATCGGCACTAATCAATTAATATAACGTTGGCTATTATTGCTATCAGTCATGTTTGAATAGTCATCCTGTGTCTTACCTTACCGAAAGGCGTTATATAAATGAATTATGAGATGTTATATAAGCTTAACGTAACTTCACTCTTCAGTTGATTATATTTTTGATCTAAGATTTGAGAACCTTCACATAGTGGACTCTTCAAAATTTAAGATTCAGCAAGGCATTGTTGAAGTTAATATAGCTAGCCTTATTTACAATGTGTGTTTAAAAATTGTTAAAACATTAGATTTGCAAACCTCTCGATTTCAGGATCTCGTGAGGGATTTTTGAATTAATTTGGTAATTACGTCACCCTTATCGATTACGTATTGTGTTATTTACTGATTGTTTTGACTTTTTGCATTTTATCGTTAAAAGCTGCTTATATATCTTTAAATTTCATTATTACATTTTAGCTGCTCTCTATAGACCCATACCTTGTTGAACCAAGCATCTCTCAACTGTTGGATGCAAATACTTCAAGTGGCAATAGTTTGGCGTTGATGTTAATATGTGTTTGTTTAAACAGCACTCAGTTGATAAACAACTTACTTTGCGCCTTGCTAAACAAGCGTTCCTTGACTGTCTTCATCCATCGATCGTCCGACAAACCGGCTGTAAAACTTCTACGCGATCGGATTTCGGAGGCTATAATTGCATTTTCATCGAGGTTTGCGGTATTTTCAATATCTTTAATTTTTTGTGAAGAAAATTTATCAATAACTGGAACTTACATTAGAGAATTTACATTATGAGGATTTTCAAAAGTTTCTAGTCAATTTTTTAAAAACTTAAACAAGCTGATGTTAACTTGATCATTGATACATGAACTTGATCATTCGGTAAACGAAATGGATTAGTTTGATTGTTGAATTGCAAACCTCTTCTATGTAAAACTGCTATTCTGTTAGTTGGTATTTTTACTTTTGGAAAGGCAATGAACAACTAGAAAGTTTTGTCTGCCATAAAGCTTTTGCATTAAAGCTGTTTTTCATAGTTTCAGCAATCCTACTTATTTTATTGATGTAAAAATTGGCCCTTAAATTGTAGAAAAAAGTTTTTATTCATTCCAGTAAGGCATAATTTTCGACTGATATCAAAATTAGAAAACTGATTAGAATTCTATTTTGATTATTGCAGTACAATGAATGATGGTACTGAAGCCAGTTTAGCTCAGTTATTAGCGGTTCTTCGTATTAATGCTGGTATGCGCTTGAGTTATGATGAAACAAATTCTTGGCTGCTGTTTCTTACTCGGACGGATTTGAACGACGACCGATATATAATGACAGCATTATCTGTTATCATTGCTTGCCCACAATTAATACCGTATGTGTTCTTTGATCACGCTTTTGTTAGTGGAATTTACATCATCCATTTCCAACATAAATACTCTGTTATAGCTATGGATCAATAATTTGAACATATTATATGATAGACAGGTATTTAGTAATCTCAGATCGATCGCTGAAAACGTTATATTTCCTCCTGATCCATTATGATTTTTCCTTCCACTTTTTCTTATAAAATTATCTCACTCACTTTAAGTTTTAACTCAAGATTTGAGCAATGAATTCTAAATTCTGCCGAAAACATTAAATTAATGCAAAAAAAAATAATAATATCTTAATATAAACGACAAACTTTCTTTAAAATAAAGTTTCCCAGGCGCTGTTTAAGATCCATATGGCTTTTTTGATCTGAATTTGTTCTTCCGTGTTTAGAATAATACTATGTAGCATAGAAAGAGCGAGTCTGTTGTGAAATCATGAACTTATCAATAATTTATCACTGCTTGTTTCAAGGTTACATCTCGGTGATGAGAAGGAAGTGGAAGCTTCAATTATAGCATTTCTGGATTGGCTTAAGCAACGAGCTGCATCCAGTGAAACTTCTCCAACTCTGCAGCAGTTCTTCATTTTGTTATCTATTCATTTGCATGCTGGGCAAAGTGAACAACTTGCTGCTCTTATTTCTAGTGTTCTTGCTTTCAAGGTATTCTTTTAGACATTGTGAACTTTAACAACTTTGATATATGCAATTTTATCGCTTTAGTTTTCCGTGCAGTTCACCATTGTATTTCACTGCACGATATGTAGATCTCGTTAATTTTATACAAGAGTAATTTATTTTCTAGACTAGGATGGAGATGAAAAACAACTGTGACTGAATTATTAATATAGCACTTGTTTTTGTCTTTCCTTTAACGTAAGAACTGAATAGATGTTAATTATTCCAAATTTTACTGTTATTTTTAGGATCACTAAGCTCAGTTTTTCTAAACTACATCATTTAAATAATTATGTACAATTTTTACTTTAATATTTTCCTCCTGAATTGGCAGGTTTTTTAGGTATAAAGTATACAATACTTTTATAGCATTGTTTTTTAAGAGAATTTCCAGATTACTGTAAATGTGCGAAACCTTACAACATTGAAGAATTTATTCCTGCGGCATGCCATGACTGAACGTGATATAGCAGAAAGGGCTTCGCAAATGCCCATCACTCATTTCCTTAGTTCTCATCATCAGGGATTTCTTCCAGCTCATTGTATAACCCAGTTACTTTCAACAAATTCATTTTCAAAACATTCTGTTCCTATCCAGGTCTGTTTTTAGAACAATTTCATTAACTGTTGAAGTAGCTTTATGGATTTGTTTCTGAAGTTTCCCTCCTCCTTTTCTCATCATAATTTATCAGTTCTTGAAATACGAATTAGAAGTACTCTGCAACTATGGGTTTTCATTGATGATAATTTGGCAGTGCTAAAAATTCAAGTATGATCCATTTGGAATTTTAATGGCTGAAAATGACTTCTTCTGAGTTAATAGAATTATGAATTGTTTTACTTTGATTTCCCGAAACAAAAACTATTATATTATGTGCTTACTTGACTCAATGAAGTGAAATTATTCCATTGCCTTGATCTAAAAAAGAGAGCAGGTTTTAAATATCTTTTCTCGAATCCATTTAATATTCGTGAAAATTGCTGTCAGAAAAAATTCTTGCAAGTTTTTGATGTTTTAATTTTAATTTGGATTCTTTTAATTTCATTTTTTTAATTTTATTTTTATCTCGTTTTTTTTATTTTCAAATTGTCGTTCAAGTCATATTGAAGTTTTATCAAGTTCACGTATTAAAAGCGGAATTTTAAACATATTTCACAATATCGTTACATGTGGAAAATTTCAAAAATATTAATATATTTCTTTATAATTTGCAGGATTGGATTGGTGCACAGATAACAAGCTGTGCAACACCGTTACACCCTGTCGTAACAGATTTACTAGATGCATATGCAGCAAGCTGTTTTGCTGCTACTGAATTCAGTTCTGCTAATTGTCCATTGTCAGAGGAATTCGTATTGGTTAGTGCTGAGAATTCTATTTTAAAATGAGATGAAAATGATGAGGTATATAATACAATAAGTGCAAAATTTAATGAGGTTTTGGATTTTTATTATACAATTTAGTTTCATCCAGTACATTTTTATTTTATTTACATAATCTAAAATTCCTTAATAAGCGCATTAGGCTAATTATAATTTTGGTCAATCGTTATATGCCCCAATTTTTATGATGAACAATATTTAAGCGTAATGGGCAAATATTTCAATTATAAGGATATTTTGATTAATGATTTACAATAGTTATGGTGTTCTAAAATAAAACATCGTATAATTTTGTGTGCAGTGCTGCCGAACATAGATTTTTTAAAGAAGGTCTAACACTACCGTTAAACTTTCCCTTTTAAATCAGTATTTCCTCTTTCTTATAAAGCAATTAATGGTCAGTATTATGTGGCTCTTATTGACAAGCGTAGAAATAATTACAATTCAAATAAATTTTCATCACACTCTCAATTATATTTTTTAGAACATATTTGATGGAGAAATTATGGATGAAAACAAGATGGTGTCGCGCTTACTTACATTTTTCTTCCTTCTTTGTTACCGAAAAAGCTTCGAAAGCCATGTTCAAAAGAGAACTGTTCAACGCTTTTACAGGTATTTCTTTTATCTCTTTTATTATTTAATTAACAAGTTTCTTCTGATTTCAAATAAACAATTTATTGCAGTAAGATCAGAACATTTAATCATTGAAGTACGCATTATAGTTGATGATGCCTGATGTAACGCATTAATTAGATTATATGAACGTTTATGTTCATATAATAATCTTCAAATTAACCTCTGCTAATTTAATACTGTGATACCATTTAGTGCCAAAATCGAAGAAGTTATACCGGTGCGATTTCTGTTGAATGTTGTTGAAACCCGACCGGAGCATTTTCGTGCTATTCGATCACCATTAGTTTATTTATGCGGCCTCTACTATCCATATATGCTCCCAACGGTTGATTCGCTATTGTTATCTATAGATAATGAATTGAAGAATCCTGAAATGAAAACTATCGCTCGGTGAGATTTTTTTTATTCATCCGATTTACTCATCAACATTAAACTCTATGTAAATATTTTTTTGAGGCTTTTGAGAATATCCATCCCATCAAACATTTAGAAAAAAAAATTTAAGTTTAAATGTATTTGTCCTAAAATTATTCATAAGAAGATTTATTGTTGCAGGGGAACTCCATTGTCTACAAGTTTACTATTAAAAACTTTCGATGGAATTGATGAAAATCCTTCAAATTCTATGCGTTTCATACGTCTGCTGCAGAAAAGCACACTTCGCGAACAAGTGCAAGCAATGGATGCTGTTGTACATGCTATGGTTGTAGCCCTCAATTCATCTACACCAGTGCCTTTTGCTAATGGAGCAGTTGTAATTTGGAAACGCTTGGAAAATATCATCCCTCGATCACTTTGTGAAGTTTGTCATTTAAAGCCAGTAAATAAGCAACTAAAGCATTTTCCTTCATAATATATTTCACTATTAATTTAAGCTTGTAAACTAGAGATGCCTTTTATTGCTCTAACATTAGTAGCCGATGTATATTGGCTTAAGGACTGGTATCTTAACGCCTTTTGCAGGATGATTCCATATTGTTGAATAATTTGATATTTTCCAGCATATATTAATGTCTGGAATAAAATAGTTGTTACTGAAACGAAACAGCCTGCAGCGAAGGATGGTGCACTATTGAACATTGGTATTGTCTGCTTTTTTTAACTTTTTAATTGTCTGTAGTTTTTCACTTAAAATTTTAGGCTACAGTTTGTGCTTGGTCTACTGATGAATTGAAGCATGATTTGTTGGTCGAGCAACCATTATTTTTATTTCGATGCGATGAACGATTATTCGAAAACGATATACTATTTCCATGTTATTTACGTATTCTTTCGTTTTATTTGTCTGCAAGTCGCACATTCTTATTACAAAAGCTACAAATTAATCAGAGTGGAAGGTATATTACTTAAGAAATTAGAATTTATCAAAATATTTGGGATATTGTCTATTTGTTCTTAACTTGTTGGTAAATTCGTAATTATCAAAATTGTCTTATTTTCCAAAGATTATTAAATCATTTATTTCATTTTGTAGAGATGAACAACGAGTGGAACGTGAAGAGCTAACGCGTTCATTAATTGGAGCGCAAGATTCAGCAGTTGTACAGATTTTATTAGAGATATGTGGTCGTTTCAACAATACCACTGTTCATCGCCTTTGCTGTGCACATATCCATCAGATGTTCATTGCCGATCCCGTCCTCTCCAAATTGGTTCATTTTCAGGTGTTGGTTGATCTGTGAAAGCTCTGAAAACTTCTTTCATCATAATTCCTATTTATTATCATGGACATAAAACTTAATGCGTAACGGAACTAAAAAAAGCGCGATGTTTAAGAATGCGTGCAATGTTGCGAGTGGGAAATATGGCTAAGCGCTTCATGTTTTATCATTCAAACAATATTCTCCAGTGTTCTTGTCTGAATACTTGTAAAAGTATTCAAGAAAGCTTTTACTTCCCAACTTCTATCAACATTTTTTTTCCATTTTGACTTCGCTGATACTTCCACTCTTATTTTCTGGATAAATAATAGATATTTAATTCAAGAAGTTGAAAACCTGAAATTCAAAATTTATTATCGTTAAATTTTAGGGTTACCCCCTGCGATTAATTCCATTAGCTGTGCGGGAAATACCATCAATGCATATTTGCCTGGAGTTTGTGCATGAAATTTTAGCATTGGCGGATATCTCCAAGCGTATGTTTGCCATTGTTCTTATTGCTGAGCTGGCACAGCAGGTACATATTTTTTCGATATGATTTAAATTTAGATTTTAGTTTTGATTATAATCCAATTTGATTATAAAATGTAGTACAACGATTTGATAAAAAATTGAAGTCTAATTCTCTTTTCATTAATATTTGATAGGTGCAGCTGATGATAAGAAAGTAATGTATATTATTAATCAACCATACCGTACTAGCAGATTAAATTGGATGAAGTTGGAAAAATGAAGTTTAGTAAACGATGGATTTTGATATGATTGATACTGAAGGTCTCTGCAAAAAAATTGCTACTCATACGCTTGCATTGTTGCTAAGAATGCAAATCTTGAATATGAGTAATTCTGGTATAATGTAGAATTAAAGTGCTTGCAATTTCTTTGATGAGTATTATTGATTTTCATTGTGAATAGATGTTAAAGAGATATTTTTCACCTGCCTCAGTTGTATGGTTGAACAAATTAATGCGTAAATTGTGAATTACTGGCACACTATAAAAATAGATTAATCTTTATTAAATATTCTTTTGCGTTAGATATTTCTGTAGCCTGAGAATAAGATTCGATATGGTTTGTGACATTTCAAAAAATCTTCGTAGTTATTTTATGCCTTGGTGCATCATCTATAGTCTACAACCATACCATAACTATTTTTATCCTTTTTTTCAGTACAAAATAGAATCGTCATTTATTCGTGTGGAGCTATTACTAGATGTATTAACAACGTTATCACGTGCCCTGACCACCGATGAAAATTTACGCTTGTTATCAAAAGCTGTGCCGTCACTGGGTCGTATGATGTCGCTATTTCCACAAATATCAGCTGATGTTGCACATTTGTTAATACGCATTTCCTCTATTGCCGCATCCCGCATGGCAGCTTCAGCGACTGTGTTGAAAACTGAATCATGTATGGAGAGACATCTAATCACGCTTATAAACAGTGTTCTTTGTGAAGCTGCGTCTGATATAGCCGGCCTTTCCGTCAAGTCTTAGTAGTTAAATAGTAATGAGAAACTAGCTGATATATTGAAATTCGACCAATAACATGACTAATCCTTCATTCCTAACGTATTTCAGTTCATTTACTGTTGAGGAATAGTTTTGCTGAGTAAATTAAGAGCCATTAGATACCGTGTAATTATTTGTAATAAGTTATATGATAGAATGTAAAAGAAAAAGATTTATAGTAGTTTCATTCATGTTCTAGTACCTTCAACTCAAATTAAGATTACTAAATTATTTGTGAATTTCTGTGTTTTTTATTACGATCTCAAGTTTTGTATATTTTTATGTTTGCTTTTGAAATTTGAATAAATTTAAGCTGAGCTAGTGTTATATATTTTTAATGAAACATAGAATGCTGAGATAATGTTGATTATGTAGATATGAGACAACATTTAATACTGAAAATACAAAACTCAACCTTCCTTTTAATTCTTTATAGCAAAAGATGGAGTTTGCCGTTAACATTTCTAATTTACTTTACCTCTGTTTTGACTTCTATTTTCTTTTCCCAATTTGGACAATTTCTTTTATTGTTGTTATAATCCCCGCCGGTTATAAAAAGTGCCGAATCAGACCTCTCACCATTTGGCCGTTGTCGGCATCATTTGACTGCCGACAAAATGTCCTGATAATGAGAAGTATTCTGGTACTTTTTATTCAAGTTTGCAAATACTTTATTCCCTTATCAAATTTTAAAGGCAACAGTAAAATGTCAAAATATGAAAAGATGATTTTCGCAGTTGAATTAAATAATGCATCTGTCAACTAAATTTTGCACACATCATTAAGTGGTATGATTCTTTTTAATTAGATGGACTTTAATTACCACAAAATGATGGTGACTTCTATACATTCTAAATTTTGATTTGAATTGTATTCTTTTAATTTAATATTAATGAAATTTCCGTTATCGAAATTACAAAAACTGTTTCAGAATTGACTACTCGCTAAACAAGAATTCAATCAGACATATTGCATATTATTTTTCATTGGAATTTTCCTTCGATTATTCGGAAAAATTACAATAACCAATAAATAGCACTGAGCTAAAGAGTTATCATTAAAAAAAATGAATTGCTGCTTAAACGCAAAAAATCTTTACAAAGCGATAAAATATCGAATATGATTTTGTTTAAGCAATAGTGAAAATTGCGTCATATCAGGCCTTTGTTGGAATGTTATTCCTTGTTTTGTTAACTTTTTTCAACCGAATTACAGGCCTGAACAATTTTTTAATGATTTGTCATTGTCACAAAAAAGTAGTAAGCGAAACATTCTTTCTTTCTTTTCTTTTCAATGATTAATTGATTTGGTTTTCAAGAAGAAAGAATGTGGAGGGATTTCCGTAATGCTTCACGTCAAGTTACAAACAATCGATGTGAGAGGAAGGAAAACGTCCCACTTTGATATCCGCGTGTGTGTGTATATGTGTGTGACAACACTATCGTGCCATTCAAATATACGATTTAAGGCTTCGAAGACTTACTTTTCCGGCGATCACAGAACACTGACAAGGAGCTTTACGTGATATTTGATATGTTTGCGTACCTGCAATGACGCACGACATTTACGCCTTTCCTTCCGCGTTTCCATCTTTTTACATACTATGAGTAAATGGATTAAGAATTAACTCCAAGCGATCTTTTCCCAAAATTCAACTTTCCATTTTTGCCGTCATATCAATGCGAGAAATTTAGATGTGAGGAAGTTTGTGACGCTCAGATCTTTCCAAGCTGTATTGCCATGTAAATTACTTTGTCCACTGATGGTAAGGTGAGACAAATCAAATGACGGGAGTGTCATTGGCAGAAAGTAGGAAGAGTGAGAAGGCAATCCTCGCAGGGATTTAAACGTTTCCGTACTTTGGCCATCCCCGCCTTTCACTGAGCAGATTAAAGGAATGTGATAGAATAGATGAAAAGTTTGCTGAACCTTTTAAATCGCTTTTGAAGACTTCTCTGCTGGTGCAATCTTTTCCGTATTTGTTGATGTAAAATCGAATGAAGAGAAGGAAAAAGGATGAGTAGATTAGAATGCTTACACCATTGTAGTTTGTCTCACATTTCTTTTTGGCATTCAGAAATTGACGTATTTTGATGAGGCCAAACAAGCAGATGGGGAATTGTGCCATTTGGATCACGCTGATTACACGTGCGCTGCATGTGCGACGTTTCCAGACACAACTTTGAGCTGCCAGATAAAAGTAAAGCGCAGCATGAGCAGCAAGATTGGTGATGGCAATCCAACGAGCCATGGCGCCAATGTGCTGGTAACTGTAAATCATCAAGGTGGAGATGACGATATGATGGGCCACGTGAAGACGATTCGTTTTACGTCCATCCAAAATGATGAGTACTGTATCCAGTAGTTCCCAGACTTTGCTGATGTGAAATGTGAGTATTGCCTTGCCCGACCTTGGGTTCTTATAAAGTCCAGCATTCAGACACAAACTTGAGTAGAAGCCTTCATGGAAAGAAGTTAAGAAATCGGGTAATAAGCCAAGAAGAAGGATAATATCCGCCAAGGCATTGAAGGCGTTCCAATAAAAAATGATCATTGCTAAGACTCGGCTTCTTCTTCCTTTCCAAATTCGCGGCACATTCATTACAAACAGCGCATATGCAATAATAAAAAGCATGAAAAGAGGACGACACCGTTGCATCCATTCTATCGACAATTGCGCATCGTAATTCAGTCCGTTTCCGCTCATATTTTAATTAGTATGAAAGAGGTGGAAGGAACAAGCTGCGCCGGTTTCCGCGTACTTTCATGATTACAATGTCTTCCTGGCCGCATATCTTCCATGACAATGATTTTTATTAATTTCAATATATGCAAATCATGTT